ATCTCTGAAAAACTTTAAAAACTGCAAAACCCTTCCACTCTACCCCAAATTGGCAGATTGGGTCATTCTTATTTTAAAAGTAACTAGAATTAACCGTAAGTTCTATTCTAATATTTTTTCTTGCACTTCTCACATGTAGAACTCTTCCGATTTCTGGCTTCCCCGTCACTTGCAGTCTTTAAAAGTTTAAATGCAACCTCAGTCTATATTCTGTTATCCGAAATCCTGTTATTTTATTGTCCTTTATCCTCGCTAAAGTAATCTCATTCTCTATCAGTAACCATTGACGTCTTAATGATATTATCACCTTGTTTGGGGTGAAATGATTACAAAGAAAAAATAAATAAATATAATACCGAGTATATTCAGCCCGCAAAGAGGTAATTATTTAAAGAAGAAATTCAAAGCAATTTTATTCAGAGGTTTTCTGGATGAGTTTTGACTCATTTTGGAAAAGATTTTATTGTTGTCACACATATGCAACTAATTATAATAGACACAAGATAAAAAAAAAATTATGTTGAATCTCGAAATGCCCGCTCAACTTAAAACTCAATTAATTCAAGATTCAATGTTTTAAATTCAGACAGAGATTCGTTCTATATTGTGAGTAATCAGTAAAGACCTTTAATGGACATCATGAAAAGAAAGACTTTAGATAAAATTCATAATGAGATATATTATTTGTAAAGAGGAAAGCTGCTGAGAAAGTTGGTTCACTGTGTCGAGCTAGACATTTTTTCTCTCCAGATATCTTGCATATTTCATAAGTCAATCATTCATCCATACTTTGAATATTGCTGTCATATATGTTCCGGTGCTTGTGTAATATATTTATAGATTCTTGATAAAATCCAAAAAAGAATCCGCGGTATTATTGATCCTGACTTGGCATCTCGGCTTCAGTCACTTTCCCACCGCCATAATGTAGCTTTCCTGTACCTTTTCTATGAATATTTCCATGGTAATTGTTCTGATGAGCTTTCCATTTTGCTATCTGGACTTTATGTATTTAAGTGTATTCCCAGATTGGCGACAAGGTCTCATAATTTTACAGTGGAATTTGCTAGATGTAACCATTAGTTCTTTGCTAACAGTTTCTTTTCTCGCACTTCTCGCTTGTAGAACTTTCTTCCGGTTCCATGCTTTCCAGCCAAATTTGATGTTCAAAAATTTAAATGCAATATCAAATCACTGTCTTCTTGATTATTATTCTTTTATTGTTTCCGGTCCTTAATAATTTTTCTCTTTTTGCTTATTTTTTTTTTTAAAGTCATTAACCCTTTTATCTAAGTGGCTTTACTGCCTTTCTCTTGATAGTTAAATAAAAGACATCTGCCAATAAGTGTATAATGATTTACTTAGCGTAGGTTAGATGTGACACAAGGCCGCAAGTAAGGAGCACTCAGTGAATAGCAAACACTGGTAAGCCGTAATTGATAGAGTGAAACAAGCTTGCTAATTACTGCGTCATCTGAAAGTGCCGCAGCAATACGTGTTTATGTAGCCCATTTTAAAAAAAAAAAAATATTTTATGACCATTAATTTAAATAAAAAATAAAGAAAGAAAAACAACGAAGAGATATAATTTCTCACGTACTGGAGAGAAAAAAGGGAAGTTACATAAATACAGTAGATGCATGAGTGTGTGTGTGTATGAGAGAGAGAGAGATTAAATAAAAAAAAAACTGATCTATTTCGGGTGGATAAATAGAGTTTATTATTTTTAAGTGAAATTGCTCATCGAACACAACTGTAGCAGCGCCAATGACGGTTAATGTAGAAAATGTTTAAATTACAGTAATCATCTTCAAGTAACAACGAAAACTATGTAAGTTTAATTTTATCACCCGACTATATAGATTTTTTTCAGTTGAGAAAACAATATAGCGTTTTTCCTCTCAATATATGAACCCAATGTTATTCCGATAAAATAATTTAAAAGAGTATAAATTATAATATATTTACATATTACCATAATAGTAATTTTAATGTGAATTTTTGGACAATGTGAAGCGGACAAAAAATAAACGGAAGCTTTAAAATAAAACAACAATGTAAGATTTTATTGTCCAATATGTTTTTGTAGTTTGTATTTATAAATAAAAATTTATACTGCAATTAGCATAATAAAATCTGACACCGCCAAAATGCTATTATCATATATATATATATATATATATATATATATATATATATATATATATATATGAAGAAATATACTCTTAATGTGTGCTATATTTATGGGATAAAGTGCTCAATATCAGAGATAGAGTGTGTGTAAATATATAAATGAACATTGAAGTCAACACTTAGAGGCGACAGGCTGTTTCATGTTAGATGAAACAGCCTGTCGCCTCTATGTTGACTTCAATGTTCACACACACATATATATAAGTGAACATTAAGGGTAGATATAAACTGAAAATAATATGATATATTGCTCATATAAATATGAAAATATCTTGCAAATTTTGCCAATTATGTAATACCAGTTTTATTTTGAAAACACTAACTTGCATAATTAAATTTAACATGGTATAAGTTTCAAAGGACATTGTCAACAAATATCGTCCCACTTAAATGACATGTCGGTTCAGAACGTATGCAATTATGGTTTTTCACAGCTTTCGTTTCTTTAATAACTTTAAACTGAATTTTTATGACTATTCTTGAAAACGTCAGTTGAATTGTTTCCCGCTGGTCTTCTCCACGGGTTTTGAATCCAGAGTTGTCCTACTGGCAGGGTGGCTTGCAAATCAAGGTTGGAGAGCTCAGTGTGATCTGTTATTTGAGTCATAATTGAAGGGAGAAGTGATGATTCATGCTTTTTTTTTAAAACATTAACGCAAAGAGAGCAGTCGATGCCAGAATTTGAACTCGGCTCGCAGATTCAGTTTTCCACGCAGTTAACTATAGTTCAACTGCTCCTCCCAGAAAATATGTGTGTGTTGCTTTAAAATACGAAGACGCAATTATGCAAAAAATACTATTGACATATATGGTATAATATATATTACTAGATCGACATTAATTTTATTACACTGTCAGTTTAAAAAAAAAGATACACGAAATAGTAAAACCTAGAAATATTGTTAGAATTTAATTAAAAAGGTGATTGAAAACGCAAAAAGACGTTCGTATATGGAGATTTGAGAAAATTAATATCACCCATCCATTTGACAGTAGAAACATCCTTCAAAATCAGATTCGTTGAATTCAGCTTTATATACTTAAATTCACGTTACATAATCACGCCTTGTTTTTCGTAGACGACATCTAATGTTAAAGTGAGCTTTATTAGATCAAATCAACATATCGAATAGATTGGACCACCGAGAAATATAGATTTGTAACTAGAAAAGGTAACTTCGGTTTTTAGTAAAGAGATGAAAGATAAAAAAAAAAAAATCTTTATCTGGTTGCCAATTATGAGAGGAAATTAGTTTCCAAAAGACAGCGATGCTTTTTTTTACTATATACAAACACAGCAACGTTCTGATTATAGTTTGTGTAATAATACAGATTTGTGAAATGCTGATTGCAATGAAATAAATATGAGAACCCAGCAGTTGAATTTAATATACTACTTCGTTTGTCCTCTAAGGGTTATTACATTTAGAGTTTGAAACACATGCAAATGTAGCAACCATTATAGACGGAAGTAATACTACTTTTGGAAACCTCATTATCACAATCGGCTGCTACGTCATACTTTTAAGAATGTCAATAAAATAAATTGCTTCATTTTTAAAACTTCTTTATTAGACAGTTGTGGGCCACTCAGTGATATGACCTTCGAAACATCTTCAGATTTTGGTCGTTAAATTATCGCTTTATTCATATTCAGACTTTCAGTTATAGAGAGAAAGAGTCTGAACGAAGGATGAGGCATCTTCTCTCAGTTAAATCGTCTGACTCACAATTATGCTAATGTTAATGCCAACCCGAGGCTGCACGATTCTGTCCGCTCTGGTTAACACTAGATTCTTCAGGTTTTTATGGCTAACGTTCCTCTTATTCACACTATTTACATTGTTCGGACTGTTGTCCTCATTTTGGTCACATTCACGACATTTCGGCTGTTGTACGCTCCGACATTCTTCAGTTGATATTTGTTGAAATTTCGAACCGAAACCTTTATTTACTCCACGAGGGCAGATTGTTTTAATTCCACGTAACATGCCTTTGGACATCTGTTTTAGTTAATTCACCTTGATAAGTTTTTGTTATCTCCGCTGAGGTCAGGGATTGAACTCACAACTCTCTGGGTTTAGTCACTTTTAGGATCAATCAACCAAAGCTTTTTTTATCCACTGTGCCATGTATCCGGTTCGAAATTCCAACAAATATCACCTGAAGAAGGTTGGAGCATACAACGGTTGAAACGTCGTGAATATGACAATAACGATGAGGATAAGCGTTCGAATAGTGTAAGTTGTTGCAATTCCTCCTCTCAGAAATATAGCCAGATGTTTCTGTTTTATATACACTCATCTTCAAAATATTTAATTATACGTATACTTAAATTCATGTGACCTGATCATAGCTTGTTTTCATTGGGCCACATCTAACATTGAAGTTTACTTTCTTACATTAAGTCACACTTTCGAATGTATTACATTAGACCACAAAGTATAGCTTTTTAAAAATTAATAATGCATAATGAATACAACAGTAGAGAACTGATTTATTCCAGTGCAAAGTCTTTACCGATAAAATTATTTGAAAATTAGGCTACAAAATTCAACCACAAGTAGCCTACCTAGTGGCTAATATTTAGTTGTGTATTTCTTACCCGCGACAAGGCCAATGTCCGTACCCACCTCAAAAGCTGGGATTTCGCGCAGTCCCTACTTGGAAGACAGTGTTGCACCAAACATCTTACTTTTGTTCCTTACCTCCATTTGGTCGCATGGCAGACTAAGCGAAGTTTCAGAAGTCTAAGGAAAAGATGTATTCAAAAAACTGGTAAATGAGCGATGGATAAATAGACTCACCTGACAATTTCACCACAAGCGCGAGAATCAGGAGGTGGAATGACTAATAACATTGCAGGAACAACTCCCTCTTTACCACGGGAATTTCTTATCTGAAAGAGAAGACCATATTTCAGTTTAGACACCTACTTAAGGAATGCACTACTTAAACTGACTGGTCCGTTTATAAAAAAATGATGTTGTTCTTTTCCGCCAATTCGGTGTAGTAAGCAATTATCAATGATATAAGCACATTTTCAAAGTACAAATAAATAGTGCTTATTGTTCTTAAATGAAATTGCTCATCGGACACAACTATAGCTGCGTCAATGGCGGTTAATGTAGAAAATGCTTAAATTACAGTAATCATCTTCAAGTGACAACGAAAACTATGTAAGTTTAATTTTATCACCCGACCATATTGATTTTTGAGTTGAGAAAACAATGTAGCATTTCTCCTCTCAATTTATAAACCTAATATTATTCCGACAAAATAATTTAAAAGAGCATAAATTATAATATATTTACATATTAGTATCTCTCTATATTTCATATATATATATATATATATATATATATATATATATATATATATATATATATATATATATTATACACAGATGTCCTCAAGGACATATGGAGACAGTGGATAAAGGCGTTAGTTAGATCCAGTGACAGGACCAAAGAGTGCGAGTTCAATGCCCGGAGAACTTTGAGAGGGGAATTAACAGGAGATAATTGATAACTGACATCCATTAAACATGGCACGTGGAACTAGAACAGTCTACCCCAGTGAGCGAAATAAAGGGTTCAGTTCGACATTCCAACCACCTGAAGAAGGCCAGAATGTACAACGGCCGAAACGTTGTGATAAATATGACGACAAAGATGAGGACAATAGTCCGAATAATGTAAATAATGTCATTTACATATTACTTTAATAGTAATTTTAATGTGAATTTTTTAGACAAGGTGAAACGGACAAAAAATAAACGGAGACTTTAAAATAAAATAACAATGTCAGATTTTATTGTGCAGGGAAGTCAGGGATCAATTTGCCACCATATTATGAACAGACTCCCTCCTAAAATGATATAAAGAAATTAATATTTTTTTCGAATCTGATAAATGGGGCTTCAGGAAGCTCTAATGAATGTTAAGCTACAAAATTTATCCTTCCTCTCAAAATTATTCCCATTTTTATGAACGGACCAATCAATTGGAGTAGTGCCCTGATATGTCCAAATCTGCGACACAAAATAGTTGTTTACTATGACGTCATTTAAAGTTTACAAGAAATAAATTACAAACTATTTCTATGGTCTTAAATAGCGCACGTATCAAGTGTACAACTATCGCTTTTTGAAGTAGGTATTTGTTTCTTTCTTGACGGTTTTGCATTACTAAACGTCGTTTTTCTTACTAAGCGTAAATTACTTTTAGCACAACTCCACCCGTATGAGGCATCCAGTGAGGACTGAATTCACTACTCCCTAGCGAGACCTCCTTACTAACCATTGCTCCACCACAAGGCGTCCCGAGCCGCCTCATAAAAGAATTACAGTTGGTTCAGCAGAAGACACAAAATACATTCATATAAACGGTTGTCCCTTTTAAACGGACTTGCATAAAAAGCACAATTTGAATTCAAACATTTTCCGTTCTTGCATAAATGGTCATACTAAGTGGCTATTCCTTGTAACTATTTGACCAGAATCCACAAATATCGTGGTTTGATTTTTTACAGCTTATCAGCCCGGTGCTGGTTAATTAAAACCAGAAAATATATTTAGTTGTTATAATTTTGGGGAGATAATAATGATTTACTGATACTAATTTACTAATTCAACTGATTAACTTCATACCTTCCCCAAGGGCATTTGCGCGTAAGTGAATATAACAAACGCGATTAAAATTGGAATTCGGCACCCGATTTCCAATTCCGAGCAGTTATCCATTACACCACTTGCACATCCTAGCTTACAACCCATGGGATTTCCAAGGGGTCACCTATCTAGGTACTGACCAGGCTCGACGTTGCTTAACTTATGTGATCGCACGAGAACTAGTGTTTCCGTGTTATGACCGTAAGCTCACAGATAATATGGGTATCCCACCGTTGGGATTATATAATGATTAGCTAGTCCACAGGTGTATATTTGTTCCAAAATTGGCTATGAAGTCATCTATGTTCATAAGTATCATAGGAATGCGTATTAAATGATAACATCTGTAGTGGTATTAACCAGAGTTTCTATAATATACATTATATAAGATAACGATATATATTTATATATATCAAGAACAATATTGGGGAAAATGTATGACATTTCGGGAAATGTTTACTTGTGAAGCGTTTCCTCCTTCAGGACTTGATCGGGCTAAATTTGTTTATATATATATATATATATATATATATATATATATATATATATATATATATACACACACAAGTCCTGAAGGACGAAACGCATCACAAGTAAACTTTTCAACTTTATCATACATTTTATATATATATATATATATATATATATATATATATATATATATATATATATAGTGTATGTAGAAAAATCACGTGGTAGAGATAGCTTGATTCATCAGTTAGTTTGCAGGGTTTGTATTAAGTTACAACCTGCTTTATTTTTGTCTGCCAGCTGGACGCTAGCTGGGACCTTTACGCCGGTAAGTGCTGTTTATTATTGTTATTCTACAGTGTACTCTCCCGTCATTTTTACGACGTATGAGGGTCAAGCAACACAAATTTGCTTATAGAGTGGAAGGATTTGTGCAGAGCCAACCACACTTTCGAAGAGACGAATACAGAGACCTGGTGCGCCACGTGCCAGGAGGGCCCCAACCGACTCTCCACGTGTTTTGAATTCAGAGCTGTCCTTCCCATAGACCAGTTGCCATCTAAGGCTAGAGAACCCAGCCTGCCCTGCTATGTACCCATAGCTGGGATATATATTATATTATATAAATAAAAGACTCAATTACTGTTGTGTTTTATTTCGACAAAAGAGTTCCTAAAATTAATTTTTCATGCAATAAATTTAAAGTTTCCGCAATATGCTTGTATTTCACGCATTTTTTTTTTTATCGTCAATTATTTTCCATCTTTGGGAAGACCGAAATTTAATGAATTAAACTCGCATTGGATAACATGAAAGGCATACTCACTCTCCATTTTGATTCAGTGTTATCTAACAACGTACACGTCTCATCTTTCAATATCAGGATCTGAAATTTGAAAGCAATTTTAATCATCAAACATTTTATTTAAATTTATTCATGGACTATCAAGATTAATTTGTTACAAACTCAATTGAAAAAAAAAACAAAGAAAAAACATTTTCTATGTTTCCCATTAACCCTTTCCTACAGTTTAGTTAAATCTGTTCGACAAAGCACGATATAGATATTTGATTGTACTCAATTTCCCCAAAACAGCCAAACAGATATTCATGAGTAAAAACGACTCTACCATAGAACCTGAACATAAATATACTAGAATATATGATATAGAGAGACTGGCATGTCTGGATAGATTACAAAATGAATGTAGAGATCATAGAAATTAATAAAATATAGAAATAAATTAATTCTGTAAACAATTGACTGTCTGTTGTGTTGGGTTAATCGCGTCGACACGAGACTCTACAAGGCCCAGTGTCGCTCGCGTCGACACGAGACTCTACAAGGCCCAGTGTCGCTCGCGTCGACACGAGACTCTACTAGACGAGCATTGCTCGCGTAGACACCAGATTTTACAAGGCATGTAACAGTCGCGTCGACAATGCATTCACTCGGATGGTATCCTTTTTTTGAGGTCTTTCCCCTCTGCAGGACATGCAGTCGACGTGATCTTGGTCCTGTCAACAGCGCAATTATCCAACCAAGTCCAGGATATTAGATCTATTTACTGTAAACAAATGTCAGACGATCTAAAATTGATGGGCACGAAAATTTCCTAACCTTTACGCACCTTGCCAGAGAATCGAACATAAATGCATTCAAATAATATGGTATCCATTTATCGGTGCCCTTCCCTCTTGAAGGAAAATTAGAACGACGAAATCTGAGTCCTGAAGAAAACGACAATGCAATTATCCACGAAAGTTCACTAAATTCTATCTCATTTCAACGAAAACTAAACTCTCTTCAGAACGAAAGTTCACTAAAATTGATGGGCAACGAAAGTTCACTAAACTCTACTTCACTTCAACGAAAGTTCACTAAACTCTAACATAAATGCGAAAGTTCAAAAATAATAGTTGTACCCATCAACGAAAGTTCCCTAAACTCTAGTCTTGAAGAAAAGTTCAACTAAACTCTACTTCACTTCAACGAAAGTTCACTAAACTCTACTTCACTTCAACGAAAGTTCACTAAACTCTACTTCACTTCAACGAAAGTTCACTAAACTCTACTTCACTTCAACGAAAGCAAGTGTCTTTTGCTATTCAAAATTGCTTAATGCGAAAGAGTAGTTTTCATTAATCTATATAGGAAAACAATTTGAGCGTTTCAAGATCTGCCGTGCCCACCTAAAATGTATACTTGTTCAGGTCTACCAACCTCCATATCGGAAATCGATGTTTGCCGTATGTTGTGGAAGTCGTAACTGCATAGCCTCACGCGTTTGCCATACAGCTCTTTGTAGCTACTCAAGACATCCAGCAAATATTCCCTTTCAAAATTGAAGCCATAATTGCAGTACTGTCGATCGGAGTGAAAATCTCATGCAAGGTTATATTTTAAGGTTGAAAACAATTCTCATATAAATTATTTGATTGATTCGTTTTGGGCTTATAAACCCTTTGCAGGTTATTTGAAACTAAAAAAATATTTTTAGATTGTAAGAATTATTTTGGAGATAATGTTTAGTGATACAAGTCTTAGACGGGGGTAAGAGGTGGATTCATACCTTTCCCAAGAGTATTTGGGAATAAGGGGGTATAAATAAACCTAACTGGAATTGGAACTCGACTCTCCGATTAACAATTCAGAGTCATTATCCTTTGCACTATCCGCACATACAAGCTTACGGCACCTAGTATTGCCAAGCGGTCACCCATCTACATACTAAGTTTAATGTTGCTTACCTTTTGTGATCAAACGAGAACCGGTGTTTCGACGTGATATGGCCGAAAGGCCCATATAAATTAATTCTAATTACTTTTTAGCTTTACAACATTTCGGCTTTTCGGAAATTTTTAATAGAAACGCCCTCTTTTCAGATAGCGAAGAAACTAAATCACTAAAAATTCAGCAAGTTGCCGAGGAGAAAACTGGAACATTAAAAAAAAACTTGCTGTCACTTTATCTCTCTATTTTGAGGTAAATGGTACGAAAAAAAAAAAAAAAAAAATTAATAACAGCGGAAAAAAAAAAAACCGTAACTGAGACTGCGAGGAAGTTTTCTGGTACTTGATTTCAACAAATTTTAATTTCTGGAAATTTTCAGAAATAAACTACCAGGACAGATTTCTCACTTGTTAATTTAAAAAAGATGTCAGGCTAAAAAAGATTCCCATCAAGCAAACACTACTTATAAAACTGAAAATCCTTTCGAATATTAATGATTCTGTCTAAAGTTTTGGTACTTACATCTTGGTGCTGATAACAAATCAAGGCTTTGGCTTTGAGTGGATGCGTGATAGGCTCCGTCCGATGATGAATGGGGTACACATCTCGACTTTGTACATGTAGTTTTTCTGCTCTTAACTGATAATCCAAGAGATGCCTTGTGATATTCTTAAAATAATAATAATAATAACAATAATAATAATGATGATGTTCGGATAAACTCATTGAAAGAATTCCTGGTTGCCCATGCCTTAAAGAAATACAAAAAATTGTACTCACACATTACGAAGAGCTTTATCTATGTAAAATGTTGTGTGATCTTATTTATTTATTTATTTATTTACAAAAAGGATTAGTGGAAAATATGAAGCCATTTCTGATCTTAGGTCCAGGTTGTGACCCAGAAGGAAATGTGTATACAACAGAAATCCAAAGAAATAATAATAATAATAGTAGTAATAATAATAATCACAGCATAAAAAACAACTTTCAGATTTTGCCATGTAAAAGTATATCAATATTCCATAATCTAAGAGTTATTAGCTAAATTTTGATCAGAAATTTTCACTGTATAATATTCAGGAAGGAGAGCTTTTTGAAAATAAATTTCTTTTTTTTTTTTTTTTTTTAATATTTTTTCATCATTAGGTTTCAGGTTTATCGATGTACCTACATAGGTCAAAATGTTTTATTGAGGCTAATGGTTACATATGCAAGCGGAACAACAAACCGAACCATAATCACGACGGTATTGTAGCGTTGACTGATTTTGAAATTGATGGTTTGGTTTGTTTTATGGCATATCAACCTCAATGGGTTATTTAATGCTGGCAATATTTTTATTGCTGGTAATAATTTTTTCCTTAAAAACTCATTGCTGGTGATAATTTTTATAATCATGTATTGCTGGTACTAAAACCTATTTTTACACTTTCATAGTGTTTTGTCCCCAGTTTGAGGTTAACTATTTTCCCAGAGTTGGGACCATAACAGATGCTACCACCCCGGGTCAGAGTGGACCTGGGAACACCAGCAATTAAGAGGTGGTTCTACGCTCCTCAAAACCTCCTGATTAGAGGCCTTGCTGTCGGATTTAGTTTATCGTCTTACCCAGGACGGTTTGAAATTGATAATCCGTAAGTATGTTTTTGTATTTTCTTATTGCTGTTGTATACAATAAAGTTTCTTTTGTCGTCATTATTAAGTTACGAACTTATTGATTTATTTGCATAATTAGGATAGGATCAGAATAAGGTTTTCGGTCATTTCAAAAGTAGAATCAAATCGAAATTAAGGATCTAATAGTAAACGATAATTTTCTATTGTAAGATCGTACAAAATTCTACAAAATATTCCTAGGAAATTCTCTTAATGAAAAGAACATCAGTTAACCTGGAAGACTATCAAAATCACTTAAACCCATTCGCCACACAAAGATACCAAGTTTTGGAAAGATGGAATCATGAAGCTGCTTCAAAGATGGCAAATGATAGTGGAACAAAATGGTGCATCAGTGATTGAATAAATCTATGTAAAAATATCTAAATATTGCCTTCTAATTTCCAGGTAAAAACCCGTACGAACTTTTGTTCCGACCCAATAATAATAATGCACGGCTCTCATTGTTTCTGATCTTAATCAATTGTAGATGTTAAATATATGTTTTGCCTTTGTGAATTAAGATCGTCTACAGTAAATATTCCGTTCAGTCAGAGATTTGCTTGTTAGTTGCCTGATCTCAAACGATCGGGTATGTTGTCTTTAGGCTGGTGCATTGTGTATATCTGTTCATGAGCAGGAGTAGTGATGGAGCATCATGGCTGGTTTATTATTTTTTAAAGTTTGAAGGATGAAAACGCCACATCTCGATACTTGGGAATAGCCACAATCGGAGACCGTTTAAGGCGGACTGGGTTATCCGACCTGGAGTTGTTTCTAACTGAGCCGCACCTGTAAGGTTATGCTGTTTTATTAAAACTTATTACCAAGAAATAAAAGCAAAAAGTGGGAAATACGTTTGATATATCGTAATCAAGTCATTAATCCTTATTATTTTCGGTTTTCGAGATTTGCATGCTGATACAATTCCCACAAAGATAAAAGCTCTTTATTTATGTTTCTGCCATAATTTGTATTTGTAGTTGACACCGTTTAAATATTTTATATCTCACTGAGATAGAGATATAGAAAGAGATATAGATAGATAGAGATATAGAAAGAGATATAGATAGATAGAGATATAGAAAGAGATATAGAGAGATAGAGATATAGAAAGAGATATAGATAGATAGAAAGAGATATAGATAGATAGAAAGAGATATAGATAGATAGAGAGATATAGAAAGAGATATAGATAGATAGAGAGATATAGAAAGAGATATAGATAGATAGAGAGATATAGAAAGAGATATAGATAGATAGAGAGATATAGAAAGAGAGATAGAAAGAGAGATAGAAAGAGAGATAGAAAGAGAGATAGAAAGAGAGATAGAAAGAGAGATAGAAAGAGATAGAGACAGATAAATATTAAAAAAAAAAAAAACACCATCTTCAGAATCACCGAAATTTAGCCTAATCTCTGCAAAGAGACTCGCGGGACTTTTTCCGGTAAGTGAATTATCAATTCTTTCTGTCTTTAAGAAGATTTTAACTGATTTTCGGAACTGTAGGGCCTGGAGAATCTGATACTCACGGGACGAATAGAGGGGAAAAAAGAGACAAGGGAAAGCAGCGTATGACATATGCGGTGGAGTTGGGCAGGTGAATGGCGGAGCGTGCTCTGGGGGAGTTGGCAGAAACACAAAACCTGTTGAGAGCCACAAGGGATAGGGGAAAGTGGAGGGCCATGATCACCTACGTCATGAAAGGACACGGCATATAAAAAGAAAATAATTTATTTTAACAACAAATACAGCATTCCTGAATTTGTTTGAAACATATACACAAGGTAACGATATATAAATACTGAAACTGCCGCCTGTGATCACTCTGGGACAACCTTTTATATAATAATAAAAGGTTGGTAACTGGAAATAAGGGATATAAAGAATTGGAACAACTTACATTTAAACAAAAATAATATAAAATTTTACTACTACTAATAATAATAATCACAGCATAAAAAACAATTCAGATTTTGCCATGTAAGAGTATATCAATATTCCATAATCTGAGAATTATTAGCTAAATTTTGATCAGAAATTTTCACTGTATAATATTCAGGAGGGAGAGCTATTTGAAAATAAATTTCTTTTTTTAAATGTTTTTTCATAACGTTTTAATTTTTCATTCATTTTAAATAAAGTTTAAGATTAACTAGTTTTGATAATAATCGTTTGATAACATTACTAGTGATTATAATAAAGGGATTCCTTTGTATATGCTGTTTTTTTTTGGTTTTTTTTTTGCCTGATGGTCGTTGTTTTCTAAACTTGCACATCAACTACAAATATCAAGCCGGTGAGAATTGAGCTAACCACTGATCAATTTGAAAAACCATACCTCATATCGAGGCGGACAATTTTGTTTGCCAGTCAATATTTTTATCAATAATTTTGGCGACGGAAACAATTTTGTGAAATATTTATTGAAAAAAAGTGCATTGGTGATACTTACTCGGATGTGTTCTATCATGGCGTCTGGGTCCCGAGCTTCGATTTTACGTCTCATTCGAACGCAACTCAGCCATGAAAAGAAGCCAGACATATCTTCATGAAGATGCCGCATATCGTAGAAGTACTGAGCGTTGGAGAATTAAAATGAACACCATCAATTTGGAAAACACAAAAGTAAATAAAATACAAAATATAACGTATAAGATAAGATATAAAATAAAACAAGGTATGTAACAGGTTTTACACATTATTTACACTATTTACATTTGGGCTATTGTTTTCATCTTTGTTATCATAACATTTCAGCCGTTGTTCCCTCCGGCCTTCATCAGGTTTATATCGATCTAGTTTTAATAGGCGTAGATAGGTGTGTATATCACCCACTTCACATTCCTTCCCCGTCTTTTGGTTTGTCCCTTGATTCCTGTTAAGAATTGTTTTCCGGTCCCTTCTAAATTTTTCGCATTCTCGTTCACTCCCAGTATCCCCTTGCATCTTAGTGACATTATCGCCTTTCTTGGAGTGAAATGTTTAAAAAAAAAAAAAAATACAGGGAATTCAGAATTCCCTGTAGATTAGCCATCTTGATATAAGTAGAATAAATAATTCCTCATCCCAGAAATCTAGACAGGAGTTTTTATAAGGTTCTCTACTCTTAAACTAAGTTTCAGAAGTCTATTACTTTCACACCCAAACGACAAACAATGCGAATGAATGAAGTATAGTTATTCATTACAGCAAGTGTAACATTTCGTAAAGCGATGGATTTGTTTGTCGGGATTTGATTTTCAGTCTCCTTAGCCGAGTATTTCTAATAAGAAAAAAGAGCCTAGTTTGTGAGAATCCGTCTGCCATGAAACACCTCGACATTATTCTAAGAGGGTAGGAGCAGGAAAGCATTCTAAAATCCTGCGGCAAAACTCCATGGAAATGGGTTAATTTTGCCATTATCCCCCAATCAAGCGCCTATAACGTTTTGCGCGAGACTGATCTTGTGTCATAATTAATGTCGTGGAGAGTCAAATGTCCTCTCTGGTGGTTTCTGTCAATGTAATCTTAATAAATAAATCAATCTCAATATTTTTTAAAAACGTTATCAATCATTAATATTCATAGAAGCAGTGTTACCTTATATTTTATAAGTCCATGGGTAAGGTCACCTTGCTGTCTTTAAAAATAAAGTGCCTACAAGTTAAGAGTCATACTGCTGAACTGAATTTGACCTAATAATTTCTTCTCACACAGAGCAACAGAATTACTCATCCTAGATAAGATTAATGTGTATTTGTTCTTTTTTTAATTTGGGATACCTATTTGATTTATTAAGGTTAGGGGATTCTAAAAATTTTCATAAACTCTAACCCCGTAAAGAAAGAAAAAATATATGAAAAAAAATACAGAAATAACACTAAAATTATTGATAAAAATCTAAAAATACCACTAAAAAGATTACGAATAAAAAAGGAACGTTTTTATACTTCTATTTTTAATAAAAAAGGGAAATAAAATAAAAGATCTACAATCAAATGAAGTTAGTAGTGAATAAATATATGTTTTATATTACAATGTAAAAAGCATAAAAAGATAACATCCTGTCTGTATGTCATAAAAACAAACCCAATTCTTTTCCGATTATTACATATGAAAATGTTTGCAGCTAAACACAGGGATTAAATTTATCTTCGCCTATTGTTTTCTAGAAAATACATTTTTATGAGAAAACATTTTCAGACGAACCTTTTCCAAGTGGTATGCTAGGGATCATATTTACCAATATTGTACACGTTGTACATTTAAAATCGACAGTGTTTTAGAGGTTAAACTAGTGAGGAAAAAATGTTTATTTTTTATTTATTTGATTAAAACCAGTGACATTTATACAATATTTAAAAATGAAACCGATTATGTTTTTCTTTTCTCACGTCAAGAAATTGGATCATTCTTTTCAGGATTTAGTGTTTACGTTTCTTCTGATAAACCAACACGTGCTTTTTATAAAACCATTACGACCGACTTAAGTAACTACGTAATTACTTCTGTTTTAACGATATATTTAATACAATACCACGCGAAACTATTATAAAATAACAATTGTCATATGAAACATTGACCCTACTAGTATTATTTTTTTATATCTAATTAGCAGATTTTGTAGCAGATTATTTTTGAGAGGATTGTCATACATCTTCCCCTCTCATTCAGAACCCCTGCTACAAAAATATTACTCCGATAGCGCCACTGTTTAATCTGCAAAAAATACAACGCAAAACATTCACTTCGAAGCTGGTGATTATCAGACATTTTCTATAGTTTAAGATGATCGAAAAGTTTTACATGGTATTTTATTTTTTTTTAAAGTTCAAATGATTGGCAGCATAAAACTTAGGCTGTTTGTAATAATGGTAAGTACGCCAAGATTCAAACATTACCTTCGTGGCCTATTTTCTACTATTCCTTTCCAAATCAATGAAAGTTTTACTTAAGGTGGGGTGTAAGATTGTTTTATCAATATTTCTGAACAAGATGCAATGCTTTTGTGTCGAATCGAAATTCAGTTTTGCTTTCATTTGAAATCTTGCCAATAGTACTAGAATCAGAAAAAGCAGCCACTGCGCTTTATAAATACCAAAGATGGAGAAAAAGAAAAGATCGCATTTCAAATCTTAAAATGGCGGCTAAAGTTATTATCAACTTACCTGGTGATATTCAGCTGCATTCTTTAAATGTTGCTCTACACACGAAGAAACTTGCTGAACCCAAGACCAAGCATTACGAACTGCATATACACTGTCCTGTAACAATAGAATTAAAAGAGAATTTTATAACTGCATACATTTTTGAAAGAAAATAAGTAGAGAATTACTTTATATATCTGTTAGAATATTTCTTAATTATTTTTTATATCTGTATTTTTTTAATTCAGGAGACTTTCAAGAAACATAATTCCAATGTGTTTTTTAAATAAAGTAATTATTTTAAGCTAGACAAAAATGTTAAAACAGTATTACATAATCACCAAGTTGAATTATTTAAAGAAATTAACATCTGTTATTAACCTATTATCTTGGTTGGTTTATTTCGTTTTACGGCATATCAACTGCAGTAGGTTATTTAATGCCGACAAGATTTTTTATTGCTAGTAATATTTTTTCTAAAAATTATTTCTGGTAATATTTTCCCCAAAAATGTATTGCTGGTAATAGTTCTTTTTTCGAAAATTTATTGCTGGTAATAGTTCTTTTTTCGAAAATTTATTGCTGGTAATATTTCTTTTTTCGAAAATTTATTGCTGGTAATTTTTTTTTTTTTTTACAAAAATGTATTTCTGCTTTAAAATCTATTTTTACACATTTTGACGCTAGTTTGGGAATTAACTATTTGTCCATAGCTGGGACCCTAACAGGTGCTACCACCCTGAGTCCGGGTGGACCTGGGGACACCAGCAATTAAGAGGTGGCTCCAGGCCCCTCAAAACCTCCTGATCAGAGGCCTTGCTGTTGGATGTAGTTTATGCCCATACCCAGGACGACTTATCTTGGAACGCACGTATTTCATATAAAAAAAAGGTTCAAAGGAAGATTTATTACGAGGTTCAGACGAATTTAGGTTTTATTTCTGTTGCTTTTATTGTATTGATGAGGTTGTTTTAATTCTACTATCATTAAATAACATGGATAGGAAAATAACTTGCTCCCAGTGAGGTTTGAACTTACATATTAAGTACCTGAAGAGGAAAGTTACATGAACAGATTTGATTGATGTCTGCTAATTGGTTTCCTTAGTTTAATCGGTAAAAGGTATTATTAATGTCAGACAGATATAGAAGATGAGAGTTCAATTTATTTTACGTAAAGGTTGCTGATAGGAAACAACAAAATCAGACGAAAGATCAGCTAATCATAAATTATCAACAATTGAACACAAAATGAAAGCTTACTCGGGAAGTTATCTATCTATAAATTATGAATATCTTAGGTCTAATAAGCTGCTTTCCAAACATATTTCTCTATTAACAGAAAATCTACCTAAAACTCATTATCTATTTTTGCTGAATGCAGTAAGTTAGTAAAAATTAAAGCAAACAAGCTGTAACAATATTTGCCTGGCCACAAAACATTCCGTTTAGTTATCCTGATGTGATATTAAATCATTCATCTTAACTCCGGAATTAGGATTTCGCCTAGTGTTGCCTTAAGTTGGTATAACCAGAAGAACTACTTTTTCGAAACAATCGATTGCATCCTTGTTAGAATATGATGATAGACTTTCTTCGAATTCCACCAAATACACAATATCACAATCTTTGGATAAAAACCAGTCTTTAGTTAAGTTAGTGGTGGTTAATTTAATTTGCCTTTCACATTGTTGCAAAATTATACACATTTAATTAAGAACAGGTCACATATTTTTTTTTTTAAAGTGAGCATTTAAATGCGGCCCAGTTTCGCTTAAATTCTCCAGAAGTTAAACACTAAAGTGAGTAACATAACGAAGCTAGTCGAGCGCAAATGATTTTCAAAATTTGAATTGGATACTTCGACTTTGACAATTATCTTTTGCGTCGTATAACATTAATTCGTCTCCAACAAAATATTACTTTAATTGTTGTCTACCTCATTTAGTTACTTGATCGTGGAGCATTGTAAAATTTTGTAAAGTACATTTGACATATCCGATCATTTACAGGGCCATCTGCATAAACTTCACAAATCCTTCATGTTCGAATTGCATTTTTAATTTAATTTACTGAAAATACAGCTTATTTTCTTCCAAATTCAATGATAGAATCGGGCTTAAGGCCATATAGCGTTTAAATACCGATTTCCGTACGATCAACGAAGTTAAGCAATGTCTAGCCTAGTCAGTACCTAGATGGGTGATCGCTTGGGAATACCAGGTGCTGTAAGCTTAGATGTGCGGGTGGTGTAATGGCTAATAGTGCGGAATTGTTAATCGGAGAGCAGAGTTCCAATTTCAGTTTGATCCGTTATATCCCTTTATGCGCAAATACCCTTGGGAATCCACCTCTTATCCCCCAGTCATGGGTTAACTAGTAAGACTAATCGATATACACCCTAATCAGGTGTATATCGATCTGGGTAATTTTCACCTGATGAAAGCCGGTGGGCACAACGGCCGAAACGTTGTGATGAAAAAGATGAGGACAATAGTCCGAATGTAAGTAGTGTAAATAATGATACATCTGATGAAGGTCGGAGGGCATAACGGTCGAAACTTAATGATAACAACAACACATATGAGGACAATAATCCGAATGTAAATAATGATAACTTCTCATATTATTCAGATAAGAGAATATTATTTAGTTTAATATCAAACCTTAAAATATCCCAAAAATATTATTAAGTACAATACAATTACAAATTTACTTATCTGTTGTAGCCATTTTTTGACAGTAGAGATAAAAGTAGATTACTTAAAAATTAGGTATGTCTACTTACGATCACATTAATTTGATATTATTGATCACCAAATTATCATCCTGAATGTACAAAGTTTAAATTTAAGTATTTAAATTTCTAGGAACAAATTGGCTACATTAGCAGCACTGTCGATAGCCGATATTAAAAGTTAATGTCAGGTTAACCGATACGACACATAAGCATTTTGGTAATTAATAGATCAATATCATTTGTCCTACATGTGCATTCATGACGAGGCATTAAGTTCTGTAAAGATTGTACAGGTTACATTTTTCTTTTTGTCACATATGTGACCTGCGTTCGTTTCACATTGATTTTGCCAAACCTGCGCTTTAGTCGGTGAGTCACTTGAAAATTCTCAGTCAATATTGATTAAATTTCTACGCAGTATCATTCTGTATATAAAGCCAAAATAAATGTAGGTAGAGTAACAGTTTTTCGGTACTGAAAATGGAATATGCGAGTCGTGTTCAAATTTCGGCATCGTCTGCTACGTTCATTTTTCGCATAGATGCTCTTTGAAAATGCATAAATTAATATATTTTCGCCCATCTATGAATTAAATAGCAGGGTTAAACATGATCTCTTGTCTTGGGTGGCAACCTGTCTAAGAGAATGACTACTCTAAATTGAAAATCGTGGAGAAAGTAAAGGAAAACCATTTGGCTATCTTGCCCTAAAAGTCATGGAAATTTCATGATAAAGAAAAGAAACAACCGGAGAAAAATGTTCACCTAGTCTTTAAAACATAGTATAAAATGGTTTGATATTAAGTTATATTAGGTATTAAAAACTCATAAATTTTGGTTTAAAATTTGATTAAACTTAATATTGCCAATAGGTAAAATATTTTGATATATTTCAAACAGAATTTAAACTGAGTGAAATCTTTTTTCTGCTTTCAGTAAAAGCGATAAATTCGTCCATATTGACATATTTGTCAAGGATACATAATTCTTTTTATTAAAAAATCTTTCAAAAATAAAATATTCATAATTTGAAAAAAAATAGACGATTTAAAGTTTAATTCACCTGAATTGAAACAAATATTATTTATTTTTAGCTAAAATGTCACAGAAAAATATCTCTTAAGACGAGGTATGTGCTTTTTAATGCGTTGAGTGATTGACAGCCTGATGCTTGCGAAATTTATCTAAGGTGGATAATAACTAGAAAAATCACAAGATGAATACATGAACATCTTTCCTTATATAATTTTTAATAACCCAGTAATCTTAAAAAAACTTGAATATTTTAAGCATTCTAAATATTTTATTGAATTTTAGATACTTTGGCCTTACTCCCAAAGACGTTTGTTGAGAAAAATGTTAGAAAATTTACCATAGGCACATCTTATTTTTGATAATGTCGTGTATGGACATCCGTTTTTACAAAAAATCGATACGCTTATGCACGCATAAAAGAAATTCAAAATTCTTTTTAAGATATTGGGGTCATTGAATTGTTGTGACCTTTTCCATTTATGATTAGTAAATAGTTTTAATCTAATAACAATATCATTTGGCCGTTACAAATTAATACAGAATTTGTAAAGATTTTAAGGATTATAAAATATTCTAATTAAAATTAAAACGAAATGAAAACAATTCTTCATTTCTGAAGAAGTCTTGAAAGTTTCATTAAAATTCGAAAAAATATCTGATTTTTGTAAGAATTTCCAAATCAATTTTTTCAACGGAAAAAGACGCTCAAAATTCCCTGTACAAATTTATGGTCCCGCGTAGACATCAGAAAAAAAATTATGGTCCCGCGTAGACACCAGAAAAAAGATTTTTAACGATAAAAGTCTGTTTTTATTATCTTTGGAGCATTTTTTTCACCATGTAGCCTCTTTTTTAGCGAATTTTTGGAGGTACCTACTTTTATAATTACAAATTGCTCTCATTTTTTAAGGGAATGCCTATTTTTTTTTTTACTTCTTCGTCCAACTTTGGAAATATCGGCAAGCAGTAATGCTTTCTAACCTGACAAGTGTCAACTTATCTTGGTAGTACAATGTTTGTTATCTTTGCTATGTGGTTTCAGTCTCTTACGAGTAGTAAGTGCCATCTTAAAGTGAGAAAATCAAAATAGAGTTATTTCGATCACTTGCGCGTCTCGAATTTTGTAGACAGAAAAAAATGCCACGAGAGAGAGCGAGAGAGAGACGCAGGACAAGGGCGAAAAGAACCAAATCAACAAGAAAGCTGCCTTATCCGAGTAAAGAAACAACACTTAGACATGGTTTATTCAGCATCAGTAACAATTGATGTTTACGTAAATAAGAAAATATATTCAATAATGATGATTTTATATAACCATACCGATTTTTTATTCCTCGAAATATTTAAAGCATTTTTTTTAATTATAAAGATAAAATCGGTCCATTAAGATTTCTTTATAATTTATTTTACAAATGGTTTCTTTTATAAGATTTTTATATTTCATTTTATGAATGTGTAATTATCTTCCTTATCCATGTATTAGCGTTTTGTGGTTTCAGTTAACTGCAGTCAAAATAAAGCCACATAAAATGGTCCCAACCCACATTTAAAATTCTTTTTTGTTTGATTTTGTTTAGTGGCATATCAACCTCTATGAGTTATTGTTATATAGGAATAAAGTGTCGTTGCCGACACTTGAGTTTGAACATAGATCGCCAGTGAGCAAACACAAGTGATCCCAGTTTTGAATTAAGTAGACTACGTGACCATAGAGGAAATGCATAAGTGGAATGTAGCGTGACGTCTAAAAGATCCTTATTTTTATATCTTCTATGTTTATACGGACCGGACACCTCGAGACGGTGTAATGGCTAGAAAAATTGTTTCGCTAGAACATTTACGACTGCGTAGCGAGTTCGATCCTCACTGGGTGCCCCATACTTTCGACCTTGTGCCACATCTAAGCGACGCTTGGAAAAATCAAATAAACCGACCTTGTGTCACAACCTGACCTCGCGGGGGTGGGTTGAGTAAACACTATTTCTATACGGACCGCTATTCTCTACTCTATTCAGATCACCATACGGGTTACTTGTCGAGCGAGAATTATTGAGCAAGTACTATTAGTGTGAGTGTTATTCGAATACGTCTGACACCAGTATTGTTCAACGACGTACTGCGATTACAAAGTCTCTACTACAACGAGCATTACAAAAGCGGCAACGAGTGTTCATTGACATCACAAAAGTTATTTAATGCCGAAATCTAAATATTTTGAACGCAATTGCATGCCTTCAACTAAGATAAAATGTATTGTTGGTCATTTTGCTATAAAATGTATTGTTGGTAATTCTACTATAAGATGTATTACTGGTCATTTTGCTATAAAAAATGTATTTTTATATTCTTATAGTGTTCTGTTTTTGTTTAACTGGGACCCTAAGATGTGCTACCACCCCTGGCCAGAATAGATTTGGGAACAACGGCAATTAAGTGGTGGTTCAACGCCCCTAAAAAAATCAGAAGCCTTGCTGCCGTATATAGCTTTATCGTTATACCAAGGAGTACCACATTTTTAGATTCAAGAACAAACTGCGACAGAAAAAGGTGAAAAAATGTTGTAATGAAAGAACTAGGTATACAAACAGAACTGTATCGCCATACAAATACCAAGGGGATCCTAAACTATACATGACCAACTACTAATCGTTTCTGAGCACACTAGTCTTCCCAGGCGGCTAGCCAGACCCTATTACGGACGACTGATCTGTTTATACAGTGCAGCCCTTAGTTACAGATTCTGGGAGAGAGCACGTAATCTGGTGTGATCATTTTTTTTTAACAAGGCCATTAAGCCCAAACCCTCAGTGATTTACGTGCGAGTAAAACCACTAACGGCCTCTGAACAGTTCCGTCTACGCAATTCCACTCACATGTGTTGGGTCAACATGTGGGATGGTTTTCAGGCTCTTTCCAAAAGATGCCGTGCGTTGGATTCACCTCTCCAGATCAATATCAGAAAGTCACCTCCCTGATCAATGACCCACGTTGAGATTCGAACTAGTCTCATGGTCAGAATGTCCTAACCACTCGGCCACGAAAACCCTAATATCTTCTTCAGAAATAAAGTAAAAAAAACTGTTAAGAATGCATATTTAACCCCCTGTCCGCGCATACAATATAAAAAATTAAAAGTTTTTTTTTTTTTTTCTTGTTTAACTGTGATTTTAGTGCCGAATCCTTTAGTATACTTAGGATTTGTGAGATAGTTTGTAGAATTTAGTTAAGGATGTTCTAAGAATTATGATTGAGAGATAGCATCTTTGTGTAAAGTCTCATCTGTTTTATTAACTTAATGATGTTATTTGGGTAAAGATTAATAAAAGGAAGACATTCACTTTTTTTCGTGACAACAAATATCTTGAGATTTCCTTGTTAAATGTTATTTCTTAACCATTTGTGCCCTGACCACCGCTTTACCGGTGGTAGTGATAAAAGTCGTAATGCCCAGTTACCGGTTGAGCGGTGGGTAAACATTGTAACTATTTTTATATCTACCGTGAAACATTATATACCAATTATTTGCGAATTTTGACTCAGGAGCTCAGGCAGAAGGGTTAAAATTGTTCATGAACGCAGGGCCCAATGGGTTAATTATTAAAACATAATTCAGAATTATCTGAAAGAATAATTGCTTTAAAATATTAAAAACATATTTAATAATTAAATAAATTAAAAATCGTTTATATATATATATATATATATATATATATATATATATATATATATATATATATATATATATATATAAAACGATTTTTTTACAAGACAAACGTCCACAGAATATTTTACTAAAAACGTCATGAAAAATCCAGTTTTCTAATTCAGGGCACAATGTTACGCAGCTTAAAATTAAATTTTCAATAAGTCTAGCTTTAAAAATTTAAATATTAAGTGTTTAAATTATATTTTAAGATTAAAAAAAATTAATGACAGCTAAGATTGGCTTTAAATTTCGTAAATTTTTCTTATGAAATTCCTGTTTCATAAATAAAGGAAATCTTAAGCATCCAAAATATGCGTGCAGGGATTGGGTGGGGATGGTGCGCGCTATTCCGCCTTTTTACCAAAATACTATTGATTATAACTGAAATCGTATATTTAAGAAGCTAAAGATGCCTTGAAAATACCGAGGAATATTTCTTCAAGACCCTCACAAACAACGTATATCCATCTTTGTTCTTTAGTTTACATAGAACAACAGTTATAGAAATAATTAAACCAGTTCTTCAGAACCGACAGTTCTTAGAAAGTTCAAATGTAAATTAAAAAAAATGAATAAAAATAAAAAAAATATAAACTCATTTTGTCTTATATATCTACGAGGAGCATGTTTTAAATTTTTCGGTTTGTGATGCTTCTAAAAATTTAACCTATTGACCCGACATGTGAATTTTATGGAGAATGCTGTCTTTCTGTGTCTTTATTTATTCATTATATCAGAATGAAAGAAAACTTACAATGCATAAAGGAATGTTTAATATCAGCCTGTTGTCGTCGCCGCCGTCTTTAATTTAATTTGAACGAAAAATGGATTCAGGTCGGGCTGGTAGAAGGTGCTTAAGAAAAGCAACAACAATACACAACAAAAATAAATGAATTAAAAAAAAAAATCATCTGAATGGAATAACCGAAAACGAAACAGGGCTTTATGCTTGGTTTGCTATTAGAGACGCGGCAATGCACTTCATTTGTGTACGTGTGTTCGCATTAGAATTAATGCAGCTGTGAAAGGAACCATGTATTTCTGAACACACTGTTTATTGTGTGTGTGTGTGTTTGTTGACGTGCGCACACGCGCGCCAACACACACAAGCAAGCAAAAGCGGCAGCATAGGTTCCGGCCTCATTCTGAACTCCTTTATAATAAACAAAGATAAATGTTTACAAGTCAGACGTTTATTTACACGTGTTTGTGATATCCTGTCCTTTTAACTACATTGGCCTCTCCAGTAATTCCGGCCCTGTGTTTTATTAATGCGTGCGAGCATATTTTTTATCCTTATGAATGAATTGATATTGCTTTTCTCTCTCTCTCTCTCTATATATATATATATATATATATATATATATATATATATATATATATATTATATATATATATATATATATATATATATATCTTACTTTCTTTCAAGCACTTTACCCGTGTGGGGTTATAGCATTCGCACGATCATGTACTGACTCAGTCAGGGCATTTTGACGTGGTCTAATGTTTAGCAAGCTTGTCTCGCTAGATCAATTACGACTGAATAGTGAATACTATACTGCACCATAATTTCAGCCTTGTGACACATCTAAGCTACTCTTAGAAAACTGCCATGTTCTGACTCGATCAAGACGTACATATGTAGAATGAACTAATAAATAAATTTAAATAAGTACCAATTAATATTTGGCATTTAAACAATTTAAAATATAAAATGGATAGAGACCAATGTGGATAACGAGGCAATTCTCGCACCCATTGTTTGAAGAGTTCCTCTTATTGATTTCAATGTTCGGTCGACTTCAATCCACTGCATAAAAAAAATATATCAAAAAACAAAACATGGATGCACAAAAGAATGCCTAGACATTTTAAGAGACTTTTTTAAATTTCTATTTTAAATTTGTCAGCGAAACCAAGTAATACTATTCATTTTTTCCACTTACAAAAGGAAAAAGCAGAGATAAAATCTCATTTGAAAGGAAATATTAGTGAAGGAAACGGAAAAGTTTATATTAAGAGAAGCGAACTGAAATTTCGTTTTAATCTCCGCTGTCTTTCTCCGTATAACTTCTTACCTTATGGAGTCTTGTGGCTATGTCGAGGTCTTGACCTCGGTATACACTCTCAAATACTTTTGGTCGTTCGATCAGGTAACATGCCCTTTGAGCAATTTCATTTTCAACATTCTGCAATAGAGAAAAAAATCATACTTTTAAAATTTCGCATCAGGAAACTTTCAATTCACTCGAATAGTTTCGATCATTAAAAAAAAAAAAAAAAAAATCAAATCAAAGCGAAAAATTAAGATTATACGACTTTGGAGATCGCAATCATACTCAAAATATTAAATGAAGCGTTGTTAAACATCAGCATCTGATTGGTTGTTTTTAGTGTGTGAGCTCCACAGTGATTCGCTACTTAAACGTAGCAAAACTATTCAATTTTTGAAAAAAAAAAAAAAATGATGCGCAAAGAGAAGTCGATACTTAAAAAATGGAAAGGAGCCCAAAAGATGGCGGGGGAAGCTAAATGAACCACCGCTAACTGTATGAAAAGCCGGTCTTCATCCCCAAAAGTTGAAGTTACATATATGGTGAAATTATACACGAACCCGCTATGAGTTGCTGCCAAAGAATCAAACGATTGATTTGAACAAGTACTGCTTCCACTGAAACTCACTCGACAAAGACCGGTCGGTCGGAATTAGTTAAAAGAAATGGTATAATATTCATCTAGAACTTCTTTGGATTATCATTTATTTTAGTTTTTACAGAATTCTATTAACGATGAAATCGCCAATTTCGTGAAAAAAAAAAAAAAAAAAAAAAAAAAACTACACCAACTCCACTAAATTTCGCTGAGAAAGATAAAATGTTATCAGAGGATAGAATTATGAAACTCTCTGAAAGATTTCAGGAATAGTAGAGACATGCTTCAGTAAAATTGAAGTAAGAAATAAAAGGTTTTATTTTTATTTAATAAAACAAAGAAAGCTTTTGGCCAATTCAGTATAATGTAAGATAAAATTAATATCGAAAACTGAAAAACGAACATTTGAGTTATCACCAATCACTTCCATGTTTTGTTTCCTTTAGAATGGAAATAATCTTTTTATGATCACGAAAGGAGTCAGAAAAAAGTTATAATTTGTCTTAAATATCAATTTATTCTTTCACCAGAGTTTCTTTCTCTTACATACTAACAACAAAAGGAGGTTTGATCTTAAAGTCTCAGGGCGAAAGAAATGATTTATCACTATTAAAAAAAGGCGTTTTTTTTTTGTTTTTGTTTTTAACTGTGACTTGTTTATACGTATATATTTCTTTGTGTCCGCATTTTAAAAAATTAGGTTACCATCGACACGAATTTCTTTATAGATATTCCGTTTCATGGAATTAGAAGTAACAAAGAAAAATAAAAAAAAAATCAGAAGAAACGTATTTGATAGCCATAAATAAATATACTAGACTACAGAAGAAAGCGGAGAATCCATGGACTGAACATAATTAACGAAGAAGTTTTAATGATAATAGAAACAAAAATGACACTTAAAAGTAGAAAGAGACAATTAAAATTTCTAGGGCACATAATGAGGAAAGTAGACTTAGCAAATTTAACATGCGCAGGACATATTGAAAGCAAGAGAGACAAAGGAGAGCAGCGGATAATCCTACCTAACAAGCTTGTTTAATTGGTTGGCAGAACAGTGATTAGGATAGATATTAAAAAGAAACCTAATATTCACAATGGACAGAACGTCCTGAAGGGACATGGCTCGTGGAAGAACCGAATACTAAAAAATATATTTTAAGCAATCGATAATCACAAAGGATCGTCCGTTTGTTAATAGAACTAAAAGAAAGATGATGAGAATTCCATGGACAGAATATGTGAGTAATGAGGAAGTTTTAAGGAAAATGGACGCAGAAAGGACATTTATACTTAAAATCAGGAAAGAAGAAAATTGAAATTTCTAGAACATATAAAGAAACAGGGTTTTCTAAACTTAACTTTCATAGGTCATATCGAGGGTAAGAGAAGGGAAAGTAGCGGGAATGAATGACAGAGTCTTGGCAAAAAAAGAAACGCTGAGGGCCACTAGAGATAGGAAGATGTAGAGAACCATGATAACCCACGTCCTGAATGGACAAGGCACATCATTCTAAATCAGTATACAATCCTGAGGTTTTCAGTGTCAGTAATTCCCGAAGGTGATCTATTGATCACGAATTTGAAGATTACAATGGTGGGTCTGATGCAATGGCTTTTGTACGATTTGAGCAAAATAAAAAGAAACTTTGCCAATGCCAAAGAGCTGGAGATGAGAGAGAAGATGAAGACTGAAGTTAGTCGCTATTTTCACTTGATACTTTTATCAAAGAGACGAATTTTGACAAGCCCATTTCAAATTTGTTACACGATATGTAATAAGCGAGATAGAATCAGGAATTTATATCATTTTAAAATTTTCACAGTAAGTACGAAGAAGTGAGAGAACAAAAAGACAGAAGAGAGAGAGAGAGAGAGAACAAAAAGACAGAGAGAGAGAGAACAAAAAGACAGAGAGAGAGAGAAAAAGACAGAGAGAGAACAAAAAAGACAGAAGAGAGAGAGAAAAAGAGAGAGAGAGAGAGAAAAAAGACAGAAGAGAGAGAGAAAGAGAGAGAGAACAAAAAAAGAAGAGAGAGAGAGAGAGAGAGAACAAAAAGACAGAGAGAGAGAGAGAACAAAAAGACAGAGAGAGAGAGAGAACAAAAAGACAGAGAGAGAGAGAGAACAAAAAGACAGAAGAGAGAGAGAGAGAGAACAAAAAGACAGAACAGAGAGAGACAAAAGACAGAAGAGAGAGAACAAAAAGACAGAAGAGAGAGAACAAAAAGACAGAAGAGAGAGAACAAAAAGACAGAAGAGAGAGAACAAAAAGACAGAAGAGAGAGAACAAAAAGACAGAAGAGAGAGAACAAAAAGACAGAAGAGAGAGAGAAAAAGACAAAGAGAGAGAACAGAAGACAGAAGAGAGAGAACAAAAGAGAAGAAGAGAGAGAGAGAGAACAAAAAGACAGAAGAGAGAGAGAGAACAAAAAGACAGAGGAGAGAGAGAGAGCAAAGAGAGAGCAGAGAGAGAGAGAGAGCAAAGAGAGAGCAGAGAGAGAGAGAGAAGAGAGAGCAGAGAGAGAGAGAGAGCAAAGAGAGAGCAGAGAGAGAGAGAGAGAGCAGAGAAAGCAGAGAGAGCAGAGAAAGAGAGCAGAGAAAGAGAGAGCAGAGAAAGAGAGAGCAGAGAAAGAGAGAGCAGAGAAAGAGAGAGCAGAGAAAGAGAGAGCAGAAGGAGCAAAGAGAGAGAGAGGAGAAGGAGCAAAGAGAGAGAGAGGAGAAGGAGCAAAGAGAGAGAGAGGAGAAGGAGCAAAGAGAGAGAGAGGAGAAGGAGCAAAGAGAGAGAGAGGAGAAGGAGCAAAGAGAGAGAGAGAGAGAGCAAAGTCAATCGTTCGGCCCTATCTCCAGTCATCTTGATAATTAGCATGCCATAATGGTACTGATGATAAAGTACGAACATCATTCCAACAAACATGGGTCACGCAGTTACCCTGCCGAGTCCATTTCAAGATGAAAACGTGTGTGTGGGGAGGAGAGAAACCAATCTGTTACTATCTCTAATTTTTGGCACATCAGTTCTATATGTCCATATAAAACACGAACAAACTTCTCTGGAATTGTTACATGACAATTTATTTTCTCTTAAGCGCAGCCAACCAATGTGTACTGTACACACAAAGTTTATTTCTTTACAGATATAAAAGCAGCCGCAAACATGGTAACAGCCGATGATATTAATTCTGAAGGTCGCGTACATTACACGAGCAATCTTATCAGCTCTTGACGATGGGTTAAAAATGAGTAAATTACATTCTTTGTGACTTTAAACTAATGCCATCCATAGATAAGATAACAATTCATAGCCTGCGCTTTGCAAATATCGTTTTTAAAATATGTAATAGAGACAACCCGAAAAGGAAAATAATGTCCTTAACGTAGGACAAGTAATATGATTGTTTTTAAAACGGTCGAAAATCGATCTCTTCACTGAAGAGGTAAGGAGATTCATTTGTGTTGACAGGTAACAATGTTGTCCTTATGTTAACTTTCCTCATTTGCTTATTTCTATCATAACGAAAGGCATGAGCATTTACGCTACGAACTGGAGTTTGTTAAATTATCTGAAGTAAATAAATGACCCCTGAACTCATAACAGACCATAATGCTAACTGTCGAGGGACAGAGAGAATGAACTCTGAAAGATTGCCATAAATTTACACAATTACAAAATGTGTATTAATATAAATTGTATACTAGAAAATAAAAGGAGCTCGCGAAAAGAAGAGAAAATAGAAAAACAAGGAAAAAGACTGAATGAACAAGGAAAAAGACTGAATGAACAAGGAAAAAGACTGAATGAACAAGGAAAAAGACTGAATGAACAAGGAAAAAGACTGAATGAACAAGGAAAAAGACTGAATGAACAAGGAAAAAGACTGAATGAACAAGGAAAAAGACTGAATGAACAAGAAATGCCTCCTAGAGAAAGAATTTACGAGAGAGGAAGATTGTGGGGAGATACAGTGTAACCCGGATATAAGAGAGATCTTCTCCGGTCCCGACAACTCTCTTATATCCGGGTTACACCGTATATCTAAGAGAAAAATCTCTTATAAGCGGGAGAAAAAAAAAGGCAGAAAGGCATCTCTGAGTAAGAAAAAAACAACACTTAGAGAGAATGGGAAACGACAATATATATATATATATATATATATATATATATAAAGAAACAATTTCTACAAAGGATTAAATAGCAATGTTAATGTGATTAATGGCGAAATCACTTCGCTAACAGGACTTAATGAGACATTAACTTACTATCAATTCTTTGAATAATAAGATCCTTACATTCACGTTGTTGTCAGATGGAAGACACATGCTAAATACTTTCGACAATTTCAAATTGCCATCTTCAAGGCGCAATTTTCTTATATATAGACAAAGATGCAGACGAAATGTGTAGACCGAAAGATATTTTTTTAAAATTATGTTATTTATTGATAGTTGAATATATGTTTTGAAGCGTGTGATGTCACTTCAATCAAGTGAGGATTTTGTTTGAATTTTGAAAAGTTAGAAATCTATGAAACTTTCTTGTTATATGTATTTATCTGTTAAAGTGAAATGGACTTAGTATAATCCAATTAGTAGAGTAAAACTGACTTGGTAGTTTTCCACAGAATTTAAGATTCTGATTATTACTGTGCTGCGGATCTGATGTTGTAAATATATTAGTGTGCAGTTTATATTTTATATCATAAAAAAGCAATAGCAATGTTAATGTGATCAATGGCGAAATCACTTCGCTAACAGGACTTAATGAGACATTAACTCACTATCAATTCCTAGAATAATAAAAAATAAAAAGCATTTTAGTCTAGACATATATATAGGCAGATACTAAGATGAAATAAGAAAACTGCGCCTTGAAGATGACAATTTGAAAGTACTTGGAATGTGTCGTCCATCTGACATCAACTCGAATATAAGGATCTCATTATTCAAGGAATTGATAGTAAGTTAATGTCTCATTAAGTCCTGTTAGCGAAGTGATTTTGCTATTAATCACATTAACATTGCTAATTCTTTGTATAAATAGTTTCTTTATGATATAAAATAAAAGTTGCACACGCTAGAAGAGAGAGAGAGAAGGGAAAGAAACCTCCGAGAGAAGGGAAAGAAACCTCCGAGGGAGAGAGAGAGAGAGAGAGAGAGAGACACACACACAAAGAAAGAAAAGGAAGGAATGCTAACAGAGAGAGAGAGAGAGACAGACAGACAAAGAAAGGAAAGAAATGCTAACAGAGAGAGAGAGAGAGAAGTAAATGCTCCATCGGGGATGGGGGAGAGAAGGAAAAGAAACGTCCAGAGAGAGAGAGAGAGAGAGAAAAGAAAGGAATGCTCCCAGAGAGAGAGAGAGAGAGAAACGAATACTCAGAGAGAGAGAGAGAGAAACGAATACTCAGAGAGAGAGAGAGAGGGAAACGAATACTCAGAGAGAGAGAGAGAGAGAGAGAGAAGAAACTAATACTCAGAGAGAGAGAAACGAATACTCAGAGAGAGAGAGAAACGAATACTCAGAGAGAGAGAAAACGAATACTCAGAGAGAGAGAGGGAAACGAATACTCAGAGAGAGAGAGAGGGAAACGAATACTCAGAGAGAGAGAGAGGGAAACGAATACTCAGAGAGAGAGAGAGGGAAACGAATACTCAGAGAGAGAGAGGGAAACGAATACTCAGAGAGAGAGAGGGAAACGAATACTCAGAGAGAGAGAGGGAAACGAATACTCAGAGAGAGAGAGGGAAACGAATACTCAGAGAGAGAGAGGGAAACGAATACTCAGAGAGAGAGAGAGAGGGAAACGAATACTCAGAGAGAGAGAGAGAGGGAAACGAATGCTCAGAGAGAGAGAGAGGGAAACGAATGCTCAGGGAGAGAGAGAGGGAAACGAATGCTCAGGGAGAGAGAGAGAAACGAATGCTCAGAGAGAGAGGGAAACGAATGCTCAGAGAGAGAGAGGGAAACGAATGCTCAGAGAGAGAGAGGGAAACGAATGCTCAGAGAGAGAGGGAAACGAATGCTCAGAGAGAGAGGGAAACGAATGCTCAGAGAGAGAGGGAAACGAATGAGAGAGAGAGAGAGAGAGAGAGAAATGCTCAGAGAGAGAGAGAGAGAGAGAGAGAGGAATGTCCCCAAAGAAAGCAAAAAAAAAAAAAAAAAAAAAAAAAGAAGAAGAAAACAAAGAAAGGAAAATCTCAGCGAAACAAAGAAAAAGTGGATGGAGGAATATGACAGATAAAGATGGTTCGAGGAAAAGAGACGGAGGCAAATGTGGATTACGCTGGAATCTTATCTATTGTTTTATTCATTATTCATTAAACAATGTCATTATTGACAAAGTTACACTTATTGATTTAAATGTTCGGTCGACTTAAGCATAACACTAACAAAAACTTCAACATACTGCATATAAAAAAAATGCAAAGGAATGCTTGAAAACTTTTAGAGAAACTATTTTTTAATATAGTGCTATTTTAAATTTATCGTCGAACCCTAATAATACTATTAATTTTGCTTCTTACAAAAGTAAAAAGGCCGAGAGAAAAGGAAAATTAATTTACTGGGAAATGTTAGGGGGGCGAATCGGAAGACTGGGAAAACAAAGCTGCGTTTATAAATAACTAAATAAAGGGTAAAAATAAACGGAAAAGAGAGGGGAAACCTTTATCATCGATTTTTTTGACTATTGTTAATAAGCGACATTCCTCGGATGTCAACGTAGTGTTCTTTTCTAGCAAAGCTAGAATGACACATCCCTTCAGAATGTGGTGGAATTGTTACACGGCTCGCTCGAGGACCGATTGGGATGCAAATGAAAGAGTGTCGGCAAAGCAGAGCTGAGGAAGAAACGTGTTTATTTCCTTCCCAGACGCCACAACACACAATGAATATTTTAACTCCCACCCACATTTCTTCACACAAAGGAATTCCTAGAATTTCTCATCCTCCGATCTATCCAGCCATATTTTCTTAATGTTGCTGTCAAGTAGTGTCTTTCATGGCATGAGTTCGGGGGAAGAGGCGGAAACCGTATTAAAAATGAGCTTGCGAGACGATTTTGACTCGACAGGAATACTTCCGCTCAGCAGGTGAGTAACTTGTCTGAACGTAAACCCGTTAGATTTCTATATAAAAGGTGGAAGGAATGATGTGGTCAACTGCCACAAGTGGCGTATAAAGCTCGTTCAGATTTATATTATCAACAGTATACTGATTGGCAATTAGAAAACATTGATAAATCGATTGAAAGTGTAGTTCAAATGATAACCTTCAAATACTGACACTAATTAATTAAGAAAAAGTAGATGATAATTAAAACCAAATAATCAAGCTAGGAATTTTTTTTTCAATAAAGGTTGTATGAAATTTGCATTTACATTAAAATGTTCAAAATCTGGAAAATTTAAATAACCATAATCAGATTTTCCCCAGAGCTAAGAGTAAAATAGTAGGGTAGACAGCCATCTTTCACCTTGAGTAGTAACCAGTCTAGGAGAAAGACGACTCAGAATTCAAAACCGTAGGAAAGACAACGGGAAACAACTATCTTAGTAATTCACAAATAATAAAGAAAAGAAAACCATGGAAAGCCATGATAGCCTGCGTGCTGAAGGGCCATGGATTCAAATGTTAACAAAAATAATAGATTCTCATCTTATTTTTTTTTTTTAACAGTTAATCCAAGGGAAGAAAAATTCAAAATTTAATAGAAACGCTTTCTCTCACTTTCACACAGACAGAAGTCTCGACTATCACTTAAGCTAGTTATAAAGAAATAAAAATGAATTATAATTTTTATGTAAATATCAAATTTTAAATTTTCTAAGTACTTTAGTTTATATATTTATTTATAGTGAGTCTTTAATTATACTTTTCAGTAGCGTAGCTAGAGAGTGGCTGTCCGCCCCGGACGGCAGTTTTATGTCTACTGTAGGCTATAAGCCTGTATTTAAATAAAAGTAGTTTTAATGTCGGAACAGTACTAACAGTTGAAGGATCTTTTCGATTTCGAGTAATTTAAACTATGGCATATATATTGACATATCTACTGTCTATAGCTACAGCAACACTTGACATAAAATATTTTGACGATGTCAACAAAAAGGCAAGAAAAGTTACTGTGTAGAAATTTGTAAGTTTCATTTTAGAAATAAAGATGGTCCTTTTTTTTTTTAAAAAAAACAACAAAAAACAAAAAAAAAACAAAAAACAAAAAAACAAAAACAAACACTTTTTCCCCAATATATCGTTTTTGCTTTTTAACCGTTAGTATGTTTGGTGTGTATTTAAAGGATACTATATTTAAATATGTGAAAGTAATATTATAATGGTACACAAACTAGTTTTATAACTTTAAGAGTGAGTCACTGCGCAATACGTATTTTTTTTTTCTGATGAGGCAAACTCAAGGGCTGCCTGGAGGGGGGGTACTCATTCTAGCTATACCACTGACCTCTACGGCAGTTTACACATATATTTAAAAAAAAATGACGGTCCTCCTATCACGACGAGCTGATCATCATCACTAATGACTATCATGGTAACAACGGCATCTGTGGGTCTTTAAATATATTTTTTACTAAATATTATAGTTGCACTATTCTTTCATGGCGCCATTTTCTTCCCTTCCCGGCGTCGTAAACATCCGGGAACAGTCCATTGTAGACAGTGGCACATGGCGTCACTAGCGCAAAGGATATAACATTAATATAAGAAGAAAGGGGCAGGTATAAACGAAAATATATACAAATACACAGTGTATTATAACTGTTCCGCCTCCTTTGTCGGATAGTGTATGTTATATATATATATATATATATATATATATACACAGCAAAGTATAGGATTGGTGTATACGGAATAAATTCCAATAACCAAAAATAATAATTCTTAAAAGAGTGCTCACTACAGAATAGAGCAAATATAATTTATTCGAAAATTATAACATAAATATGTTATAAAATCACTACAAAATTAGCCATTTTGTTTCAACACTTCTGGTGTTTTATCAAGTGATCGTGTTGAATGTAGAATAAAGAGTTTTTACTTTTTGAAAAAAACTCTTTATTCTACATTCAACACCATTACTTGATAAGAAACCAGAAGTGTTGAAACAAAAATGGCTATTTTTGTAGTGATTTTATAACATATTTATGTTATAATTTTCGAATAAATGAGATATATATATATATATATATATATATGGAATAAAGAAATGGAATCGAGGAGGCTGTGGCAGGAGTAATTTCGGACAGCACCCAAAGTTGTTACAAAGTGAAAACATTAGCCTAAAACAAGAGTCATGTTATTAAATAGTCCCGTCAGATCGAGACTTCAATATGGAGTTCATGAATGGCGCCAAGCTCGTTAAGAAACCTGTAAACTGCCAATTGTATACAACTGCTTTCTCAGATCAATGATTAAAAATGATTTCGACTGAGTGAAGCGTGTAGGTCTTGGAGAGGACCATCCTACTTCGAAATTCGCAGACGAGCACTAAAAAGAAATCACAAAAAGAATCGTACCAGATAATAGAAACCGCATCACTTGAAGATTTTCGACATCACATATAACTCGAAGAGAGAATAAGAACAAGACTTTGGCGTTCCACACTGTTTCAAAGAAAAGGCAAGGAAAGACATTGGAAAGATAAAAGCCACTGGACTTGAGAAATTTTCCTGAAAAATGTTTTAAGATTTAATAAATTTCAACCAACAGCAGCACTGACTGCTCTCTTAATGAATGCAGAACGTTTTCTTTTTTTATATTAGAAAACGGCTAATATTTACCATATAAACCTTTATCTAATAAGTTACAATTGAACTCATTACTGCAGCAATTATCTGCGAGACTATCTATTTAGCCAGTACTCCATTAAGTGCCCTCTTTAGATAGCATTTGCTAAACCTAACTTGTCACAAAGCCAGAGTAATGTGTTCTTGTGAGGATAGAATTCAACACATCAGCGAATTAGTGTGAGACTAAATTGTTAACTATTGCATCCTATTTCTAACTCTAGTTTTTTTGTTTTTGTTTATAATGTTAAGCTTAATCTGGCACAAGCCTAAAAGCTTACTGCCACATCACGTTCAAACACCGCTTCCTGTACGATCACCGAGGTTAAACAATGTCGAGCCTGGTCAGTTTTATGGCTTACCGTTTTGGAATACCAGGTGCTGTAAGCTTGGATTTGCGGGTGGTGTAAGGGATAGTGACAATTCCAGTTGAGTTCGACATATTCACTTACACGCAAATACCCTTGAGAAAGGCATGAATCCACCTCTTCTTTCCCCCACCTATAGGTTAATTAGTAAAACTCGTATCAGTCAGTAAACCGATTTTATCTAAAAAAATAAATGAATACATAAAATAAAATTTCGTACAAAATATTTAGATTTTCGTATTAAATAACCCATAGAGATGTTGATATGCCACTAAATAAAAACAACCAACAGGACTAAAAGTAACTATAATGATCAGCTAGAAAAGCTCATTCACTATTAGCTAACATGAAAGAATCCCACACTTTTTTTTTTTTTTATAGTGACGACTAAGTTCCTACATTTTTAAAATGTTATCTTTCCATCTTTCATCACTTTCGTTTTAATTTTAGATTTAACGCTAACTTCAACATTCCCTTTGAAAGGGGGTCTTAGTCATTATTTCTTTTTTGTTTCGCGTTCCCAGAACAAACAGACAGTGATGTCACTTTTGGATTATAATCGCATTCATCCCGTAGTATCATCGGCTGGTTTTCTATAGGGAGCACAAGTCAGCAGGGTAGCGCTAACGTTTATTGAAATAAAGAAAAACAATAAGTGTATAGAATCAAAACTCATTTGCAACGTTCTGTCGAAAGATTTGGCGATAGAAGCCCTACCACCTCACCTGTAATAAGGACAGAAAAATGTCATTAATAACAGCTGAATGGATGAAGCCTATAGGAGTGAGAAGGAAGGAATTTGTAATTGTAGGTGTTCGTCACTCGAAAGATGCTGGAAACCCTAGTCGTTTAGATAAGCACGCAACGCATGCGTACAAGGTACATCACCCAATCTAGTCATTTAAGGATACACACACAGCATGCAATTTTTTTTTTATTTTTGAATTCGCATCTACAATAAGAAAGGAAACTGTTGTTTATTAATTTTGACAAGTATTTACTTAGGTATCAAATAAAACGGACTGAAAGTAAAGGCTCTCGTCAAGACTCGAATTCATCCACACCAACTGAAATACGATTTGCAGAAGATAAAATCTAACAAATTACTTCCATACCGTATTCCACGACCTTTCTCGACGCCATATTTCCTTTTATAGTATTATAAGCATCAGTATTATCTTGAAGCATTGTCAGGCATTAACACACATACTAGTCAAACAATAATGATAATAATAATATCATGATGCAACACCAAGCCTGACTTTTATGTTTCCGATCTTGATTGGAGGTGTTAACATGTACATTTTTATCTTAATAAATTAAGATGGGCTACAATAAATATTCCATTCAGTAATACAGATTTGATTGTCAGTTACCAGACTAACTAGTTGACCCAAGATGCTGAGAGTTTTTTTTTAGTTTGAAGGATGTGGCAACCAAAGTGACTTTGGGTGTCACATCTAGATACTTTGGAACACCCTCAATCTAAGAACATCTGAGCAAACGGGGTTAATTGACCTATTGGTATTTCTAACTGGGTCAAAACTGCAAGGTTATGCACTGCTTTTATCAAAACATGTCACCATATTGTGTACATTTTGCTGTGACGCATATTCTTGAGATTCCCTTAACAAATTGGGTTTAATGATGGATATATTGGAATTTGTAAATTTGTACCCCAGTATCACTTTGTCAGCGTGCTGCTCTCACGCAATAATAATAATAATAATGGCTAACTGTTCGTCTAATAATTTAAAACAAATAATACTTATATATCCTATTCTTCTTTGATGCGCTATGTTTCTTCAGGTTCTGGGTCTTCATAGCTCTCCACAGTATAACTGGAACCGAAAAAAGAAAAACTGTCTTCGCTTCAAATGAATTGCGAGGTAAGATTCTTTCTCTTCACTTGTATTTTTCCTCCAAACATTTACGAGGAGCTACTGAAAAAATTTCGAGCATGATATACTTGGTGAAATCAGATTATATGAGAAACATATCCCAAAACCCAGATATTTTTTAATCCCTTCTCGGTCGGACCAATAGTTTTTCAGCACCCCCACTTAAATGCATAGCATAAACGACTTTTTTTGTCCGCATGGTTCGTAATAATGTTATATAAGCAACAGTTTTATTATTATAGTATATTAAGTTGGCGCCTTGTTTATTATCAACAACAGATAACACCTTTAAATAGATTGTCCAAAAGAAAAGAGGAACATATTTTTCCTTTTTGTAATAAAAGTCAAGAAAAGCTGCAAGGAAGGGATGCTGCTACGTGATGCATATATCATCATATCGAATTAAAACGCGCATTCATTTGTATATCAACACTAAATAAAAGGCTACTTAAACTCGCTTTCTACATTCTTTTTCAAATCTTGCCAAATGTCGTAACACCATCAACCGACATGCAAATAAGCAATACACCTTTCATTTTTACTCACAGTCACGTTAAATAACACATGATAAAATACATTCTATTAAGTATTGTCTTTTTTTTTTACATTCAACATATGAGTGATAAAGATGATAATACCTTTCAACGATATATATTAAAACCGACTGGCAGCTTTTTCTTTTTTTAGAAAATTATATATGAGAGTTGCTCAAAAAGTAATGCCTCCTTTTTATTTCCATGAAATCTACAATAGATATAGGAAGCAGAAGAACACTGTTGGATCGATTAATTTTAGTCACTGGTTATGCATTTTGAAGGCGTTCTTCACTTCGCTGGTTGAAAGTTGAGTCGAGCCGTTTGAACGTGGTTTGGCTGATTCTTTCTCACACTCTCATTCTCACACAGCTGTCACCTCAGCTGAAACGCATGACCCAACGCCGAACTGTGCTCACATTCACGATTTCTTCTCCGCAAGCCGAGTACATTTTTCACTTGCTTGGATGAATTCAATTACAACTCAGTTTCGTATGCGTTTTCAAGCCAAAAACAATTTTTCCAAACAGTTGTCTGTGGCAAAGCAGGAAAACAATTTTTGGCGAGATGGTTCAACATTTCATGCTCTGCCATTGTGTGCCAGCATAATAAAATAAGAGGCAATACTTTCGGAACGACCTCGTATTTTATTGCTATATCTTAGTCGGCATCATTATTATTCTTATACACATTTACTCATGCTACCAAAAAAATAACGCCATAGCGGATTAAATCTTTACTATTATTTTATATTTTATCCTATAATTGTTGTAATTTGTTTTTACACGGGTTCGTAAATAGTTCGCCCTTGTCACAGCAGCGGCACTGTTACCTGGCCTCACCAGTGCAAGGCAGATAACTAATACGGCAAGATGCCATAACCAGTATATAAGATGAAACATTTTGTCGTGGGTATCCTTAATTTGAAGCTAACCCATGAACAGAATAAACATATTTTCTCTAAAACAGAGTGCAGTTTTAGAAAGAATTAAGAGAAAAAAAAAGAAAAGAAAAAAGTGTAATTTCGCCAGGTCCTCTGCGTAAAAGTATCGATGTAGCTGAAATCTTAATCTCCAAATTAGTTATCAAAAGATCACATTTACGAATTACGGACACTAAAACAATAAATTGTATACTGAATTAGAAAGATCTTCTATATGCCGTGTCCCTTCAGGATGTGGGCGACCATGGCTCTCTACAATTTCCTATCCTGCTTTCTCGTTTTACCAAGACTATCGCCACTCAGTTCCGTCATTCATTTACACAGGTGAGTTGTTACCTCCCCTGGCTCTTTTACCCTTGATATACACTGTGCGTGTTAAGTTTTCCAAGCCCTCTTTCCTCATTATATGTCCAAGATATTTCATCTCCCACTTTCTGATTTTAAGTAGAACTGTTCTTTTTTGTTAGTTCCTTTAAAACTTCCTTGTTGCTTACTTTCTCCATGGAATTCTGAGTATCCTTCTGTAGAACCACATTTATGTTGCCTCCAGTTTCCTCTTCATCTGTGGGAAGATTATCCAGAATTCACTGCTACACAGAGGATTGATATCAAACAGCAACTGAGCAATGTTTCCTTATACGACTATCTCAGGATTAAAAGTAAATTTTCGGCTTAAATAAAGAAAAGAGCGGTGATTTTCTAAGCATATCTTAGATGTGGTACCCAATGAGGATTGAATTCACATCTCAGTCGTAATTGATCCAGAAACAAAGAAAAGGGTGATGAACTTTTGTGTAATATCAAATCTCATACATAGCAGTGAATGCTAAACAATTTCCTTACGGATGAAGGGGAGACTTGAGTCAACAGAAATATAGTTCTACAAAAGGATACTGAAGATACCATGGACTGAACATGCAACGAGAAAATGCTAAGGAAAATGGAAACAAAAAGGAGAGACAGTTGAGATTTCTCGGATACAATGAAGAAAGAGGGCTTAGAAAATTTGAGACTCACAGGGCATAGTGAAGGTATAGAGAAACAGAAAATAACCTAACCTAACAAGCTTGTGTAGATGGGTGGCAGAACAGTAAAAGAAAAACATTGCTAAGAGATATAAAGGGACAGAACGTTGTGGAGAGCAATGATCCGCCTATGTCCAAACAGAAACGACGCACAATTGCTATCAAGCCTGGAATACCTTCCAGGGTTCATAAACCCCAGACGCCATATTACAGAAATAATATATCATCAGATAAAAATTGTATTTTAGGGTATTGGAAGATATCTTAAATTTTCAAAATTTTTAATGAACCTCTCTCTCTCTCTCTCTCTCTCTCTCTCTCTTTGTGTGTTTAGAATGTTCGCTTTCTGTTTAGGAGACAGGTTCGAATCTCACCATGGTCAGTTTGTGAAGGTGGTAACTTGATTATACCGGTCTGGGAAGGCGATCCCCGCGCGCGGCACATTTGGAAAATACATGAAAACCATCCCACTGGTTAATCCAGTGAAATTGGATAGACGGAAACGTTCGGGAGCCATCAAATTTTGTGTTAGCACGAAATCGCAAGTTATCGTGATCTAGGGTTTAAGCATACTGGCCTTGTTAAAAAATTATGAGCTCTCCCCCAGAAGCTGTAACTACGGTCCGATCAGCATAGTTACAGTATAAACCATAGTGGACTGATGGTTGAGTGGGCGTTTGTAATTATATATATATATATATATATATATATATATATATATATATATGGGTTAAAAAGAACATGCAAACTTATCCACTTCCATATAGTCGTATCAGATACTGAGAACGTTATATGACGGTATCTGTATTTCATTGTAAAATTATCCTATTATTGCTAAGAAATTACTATTCGATCATTATTTATTTTTGTTATCAATTACTCTACACAAAGAAAACGAATGATAAAAATGCATGTATTAGGCAGTGTAGAACATAAGGTAACTTTTTCAATAATCAATAAAAATAAACAAGTAAAAACGAAATGTTTTCTGAACCAAAATAATTATGTTCATGTAACAGTCGGATGAAGACAAATTTAATTTATCAAATTCAAAAATCCATTTATCGCTCAAATCGTTCAATTGGCTCTAATTACTATAAAACTTCAGTTGGTCGAAATAAAACGAGTAAAATCAATAAAACAGTTTTTTCTTTTATTTTGACTTCGATCTCATCGTGACAATAATGACGTCCTGTAAAACGATGTCCTATATTGATTAAAATAGATTGCAAGATATCGAACTAATTGTTTACAGACATATAAACAGAATTTGGCTTAGTCTGGCACAAGGATAAAAGTGCTGGCAACACAGTAAAGATTGAACTTAACACGCAGTAGTATATCTATGCTAAAAGTGTTATCTGATCCTTACA